CTTCCTTCCTTCCTTCCTTCCTTCCTTCCTTCCTTCCTTTCTTTCTTTCTTTCTTTCTTTCTTTCTTTCTTTCTTCCTTTCTTTCTTTCTTTCTGACTCAATATGTTAGTCTGTGTCTTCTGATTTGGGAACTAAGACATTGAAGAGTTATTATTTAAAGGTGTGTAATAATTCATGTCATTTTGTTGATTATGTAGAGTCTGGTGTTTTTCTAATGCTCATTTGTTTAACCACAGTCATACCATACCCTTTAATTTTTCCCTACTGCCCTTGAATGTGTTCATCATTTTCTTCAGTCTGAAAAATTCTGCCCAATATCCTCTGCAGAACTGACTTAGCAATCATAAACTCCTTTAGCCTGCTTTTATCATTAACACTCTTATTTCTTCTGCATCAATTGGAAGAAATCATTTCACAGGAATAAAAGCCTCGGTTGACAGCTGTTGTTTTTTGGAATTTGAAATACATCTTTCCCTGCCCTTCTGGCTTTGGAGGTTTGAGAGGCCAGCTGTTAGTCGTATGAGCCTGCCTTTGTATGTGACTTTTTCCTCTCTTGTCACTATGTTCCTTGTGCTATATAGTCAGTGTTTAACTGTGATATGATGGAGGAGGCTGGTTTGTTTTTTTTCCCATGGTCTTGCCTCTTTGGATTTCCTTTTTTTTTGTTTTTTGTTTTTTTGTTTTTCAAGACAGGATTTCTCTGTGTAGTTTTGGTGCCTGTCCTGTCCTGGATCTTGCTCTGTAGACCAGGCTGTAGAACTCACAGAGATAGATCTGGCTCTGCCTCCCGAATTCTGGGATTAAAGGTGCGCGCCACCGCCATTCGGCACCTCTTTGGATTTCTATACGCCTTGTCTACTTAGATGGACCTCTTTTTCTCTAGGTTCAGGCAGTTTTCTGCTAATTGTATTGAAAATATTTTCTATGTTTTTGCATGGTGTTATTCTCCTTCTATATCCATAATTAAGATATTTGATCTTTTCAAGGTATTCCAAAGTTCTTGTGTATTCTATTTATATTTTTATATAAATTTATTGTTGTTTTCAACTGAATTTACCAATTCCTGTATCTTATCTTCAAGTCCTGGTGTTCTCCCTTCCTGTGAACCATTCTGTTAGTGAGGTTGTCCACTGAGCTTTCTATTTGACTTAGTGAAATTTTCATTTCGGCTTGGTTTTTCTTCAGTATGTTTGTCTCTTTATCACACTTCATTTTCAGATCTTACATTGACTTCCTTATTTTATCCACCTGTTTATATGTTCTCATGGAATTTACTCAGACATCTGCCTTTGCCTCTTTTCATTTCTCTGAACATATTTATCCTTACTCCATGGAAATTCTTTGTCTGGAATTTCATCTAAGTCACTGTCATTGGGGGCATTTACTGTGATATTTGTTATATTTTAGAGGGAATATGTTGTCTTGGGTTTTCATGTATTTTGTATTAAGATTTGTGTATCAGGAGTTAGATTGTCGATTGCATTAAAAAAACTATTTTAAATTTAGGTCACCTTTTTTCCTCCAGTTGGGAGTGTTTGCAATTTGCAGAAGAGGCTAGGTCATAGTTGAGACACCATTCTCCTTTGTAAAACACCAGAGAACCATACTTTATTCCCAGCCCTACCCTGTAACAACAGTCGATATCCAGAGGTAGGTAGATGCACTAGGAAAATAGAGTAATAGTTGATTGTGCAAGAATCACCCCTGAAGTACTAATCATCTTAGGAAATAAAGGGATCTTGATAACACTACGTATACTCCTATTTTAGTTATCATGGGCATCAGCAGTGTCGGGGGAATAAGAAGAAATCACTGTAAGACCCATAGTTGGTACTGGGGAGTCAGAAAACAAAGTGGAAGAGAGAAATATCGGGGCAAAAGAGTCAGGGCAAGGAGGGAATTTAGGTGAGAGGTGGACTGAAGAGGAATAAAGACAAGCTATAGGACAATGTAGAATAGTCTTGTCTCTCAGAAGGCTGAGGCACAGGGACCCTGCAAGGCAGATCATGTTCTTGGGGAAGAGAAAGAAGCAAAAGAACAAGGAGAGGTAAATCTAAAATGAGAAGGAAAGCGAGTAATAGAGGTCAAGAATGGAGTTGAGATGGCCTGCTAAGATGACCATGGGTACTAAACGTATGTGGGATAGACAAGGAGAGAGAGAAAGCTGGGTGGGGACATGGGTTACAAAAACTGATGGTCTGAGACTGGCTCTCATCTGTCTCTCTCATGCGCCTTCTCTACTGTGCCTTTTGATATCTTCTTGAGACTGTCTCAATATGTAGCCCCAACAGGCCTAGTACTCACCATATTTAGCCCAGGGTAGCCTCAAAGTCAAGACAATGCTCCTGCCTCGGCCTTCTGAGTTCTACATGTTCCACCATGCCTGGCTTTCTGGTAACTCATTTAAAATTTTTATTTCTTAAGATTAAAAAAAAGTACAGCTGCACATACTTATGGGGTACAGTGTGATATTTTCATTTATGCATACATTATGAAATGGTTACAGTAATTAGCATGTTGATCACTTTACGTAGTGGAGATACACATTTAACTCCAGTCTTTTAACAGCTTGGAAACAGATAGTACATATTCACTTTGGTCGTGGTTTTCTGTAACAAATCCTGCAAAGTTACTGCCTGGCTGGAACACTGTGGTGTTTGCACAGCCCCTCCCTGTCCTGACGGCCCTGAGCTCCTGGTAACTACATTCTACCCTCTGCTTCTGGGTTTGACTTCTTCAGATTCCACAGGTACATCGAACCATATTTCGTCTTTCAGTGCCTAGCCTACTTCTCTTAGCACAGCTCTCCAGGTTTGCCAACACTGCCTTGGGGCTAACAGTCTTACCAACACTAACATGGCGTGTTTTGTTTCATTTCTTTCTTTTTCTTTTCTGGCTAGGTAGTGTCTCACTGAGTCTAAGCTCCACATTTTCTTTATCCATTCTTTCGCTGATAGACACTTAGGTCAATTCCACATCCTTGCTAGAGCTCACATGTATTGTTAGTGAATAATAATGCATCCTAAGGCAGTCTGTTTCTCACATAGTGAAGGACATTATGGTTGCTTCTAATTTGGAGCAATTATGAATAAAGCTGCTGTAGACATCATGTATGGGTTTTTGTGTACACATGTTTTCAACTCACTTGAGTAAATGGCAGAAAGTCCAGTTGTTGGATCATCCAGGGAGACTGTTTATCTTTATAAAGCACTGTCAATCTGCCTTCCCAAGTGACTATCCTTTTTGTGTATCTACATTCTCCCCAGGAGTTAGTGGTCTCTGTATTTGGGTTTCATCCATTTCAAGACATGTGGTGGTGTATCATTGTTTGAAATTTCAGTTCCCAGCCACACATGATGTTGAACAGTTTTCATGTGCTTACTTACCATGGTATTTCTCATTTGGTGAAATGTCTGTCTAGATCTCTTGCCCATTTTTAAATTGAGTTTTCTGCTTCCTGATGGTTAAATTTTAAGAGATCTTTGCAACCAGAAGTGATAGCATGTATTTACAATCCCAGCACTCTGGAACTGGGGCAGGGGAATAACTTGAACTTAAGGCTAGCCTGAACAAATTAGAGAATATTCTGGATACTAGTCCTGTATTACAAATATTTTTCTCCCAGTCTTTTCATCTTTTTTGTGAGAAACATTTGTATAACATGTTTTAAACTATAATACTGTCCAATATTTTTTCCTTTATATAGTGTGCCCTGGTTCTGTGTCTAAAAAGTCTCTTCAAACTCAAGCTCATCTAGATTTTCTCTTGTGTCAACTTCCAGAATTCTTATAGTTTTGTCTTTTATAGTTAGTAGGCCTATAAGTCATTCTGAGTTATATTTTTTTTTGGTTAAAGAAACAAGATTTCCTTTCTTCCTAGATGTTGTTGTTCCAACACAATTTGTTGAACAGACTAGCTTATCTCTACATTCTTTGCTCTTCCACCAAAGATCACTTGTGTTTGCGTGGGCCTGCTTCTCTCCTCTCTTTCACTTCCCGATTTCTCTCTCCTTGGCTAATACCACACTGCCTTGGTTGCCACAGCTCCTAACACAGGGCTTGAAGTCAGGTGCTGTCAGCTCTCTGTCCTTCATTTCAGCAAGGTTTTCCATCGCCCTGGTTCTTGGCTTTCTCATCAGCAAAGTGGGGGCATCTCTTGTTTTCAGCTTTGAAAATCAGAGAGATTAAGACATTGAGTACATTGTAGGCACAAAATGAATGTTAGTACCTATTTGACATTTTCTATCTAAGAAGTTATCTTAAAGTAGAAAGAAAGAAGTAATTAATATTATTGACAGTAGGGTGCCCACTCTCATCTTTAATTCTGCTGGCAGGTTGGGATTTCAGTATAACTGACTCGGCATCACTTATGTTTCTTACTATTCATGTGATTGGCAGTTGTTTCTCAAAGTCAGTGTTCCAAGTGGACCACACAGGACCATGCAGCAGAAGAGCAGGGTTCTAACACCAGCTGTGGGGCTGAGATATTGCGTAGCGTGCTTCTGGCTACAAGGGAAACATCTCTTCCATCACTTCTCATCTGAGGAACACCTTTATCCAGTAGCCCCTCAGCAGACTCCTCCTGACTCCATTCACTGGTCTAAACTGAGCCACATACCTGCCCTGAAATTAATCTGGGTACTTCATGTAGACCTCTTATGGGCTGGATAGGACCCTTCTTTCCTGAACAAATTACCACCTGATAGCCAAATGAAAAAAGAGTCAACTAGCAAGATGGAGGAGAATGGGTATTAGTTAAGGCAATTGACACTGTTGGCTGCTCTGAGTGACCTTAACTAAATTTCTTAACCTACTGCCCTTAAGTCAGTTGTCTATAGAAGCAGATGCTATGCATGGATTCTTCGAACCCTATGCAAGTGTTTAGCATGTATAGATATTTCATTTAATCATCACAGAAAGCTGAAGTTGAGCTATCCCCATTTTACAGTTAAATAAAAGATAAGCAACTTGTACATAGTCACAGGTTCATAAGCAATATTGCTGAGAATTACAGGGATTTTTTTCAAGCCTAAACTTCCAGAACTACGTAGATTAACATAAAGTATGTGAGTGCACAAAATTTAGATAAGGTGTGGTGAATTGTGGGACAGTTTGTTTAATAATGTTTAAATATAATTGCCCCTAGGAATTTTATGATGAGTGGCCAATCAAGCTTGGAGAAGTTGAACCTTATAAAGGACCAAAGACTCCAGATGGCAGGGTAAATGTGAACATCTTCTTCAGTGCTGTCTGGGTACGGTGCCAAGAACCTGAAGTGGTCAGAGGAAAGACATTTCACTGGACCCCTGCCAAGCTCTGTCCCATACAGCAGGGTGGACCTTCACATCTCATGAAATTCTTGCTTTCCTTTGCCACAAACCCTAAACTTGGTGGGTTGTGTCTGTCATTCTCTGTATGAGGGAGGCATCAGAGCCATTGGTGCTGGGTTTCTCCGTGTAACAGCCCTGGCTGTCCTGGAACTCACTCTGTAGACCAGGCTGGTCTTGAACTCACAAAGACGCGCCTGCCTCTGCCTCCTGAGTGCTGGGATGAAAGGCGTGCGCCACCAACATATGTCAGCACAATGTTTTAGAAAGTGCTTGGGCCCTTTTTTAGTTGGGCAGGATGGGGACCCCCGGGGGCTGGGTTAGGTTGACTGCCACACTCGCCTGCAAGCTTCACGGAGGCAGGAAGAGCATTCGCTTCTCCACCACCATATTCTCAGCTCATGGAAACAAGTGGAAGGGCTTGTCGGGGCCTCAGATTCTTCATCTGCCCCAGTCCCTTCCAGAGTGGACCTCTGTTGTGGGAGGTGCCTGCTGAGATGAGCTGTGAGAGAAAAGCTGTGTGCTCACAGCATCATCAGTGTCTGCTTGCAGTTGATAAAGTGTCGGTTTTTTTCCCTAATGCAGTCATTAATGCCAGCTACACATGGACAACAAGAAGCAATCAGTTAAAAGTAAAGACAGAGTTGCTGGTGGTTTAGTGATCAGATTCCCCCAAAAGCTATTTGGGTAAATTCAGCTTTTAAAAATGCCACTGAGCCCTCTCTTATTGTATGGATGCAGTCCATACTGTCTCCTGTCTGGTTACAAGCCTGTAACTAATGTATGAGTAGTTTAGTAACTTACGTTATACAGAAAACTATGGCGAGGAAAGCAGACGCTACTTATCTAGAATTTTAAAGCACACATCCTCCAGGGGAGGTCATTTTTGTGGGAAATAATATTGTGCTCACAATCTCCTTCCCTCCTAGGAAATCATCTTTTATAAAGTCATCGATTACATTCTACATGGAAAAGAAGAGATCAACGTGATTCCGTGCGTGTTTCCCTGAAGTAGCCATGGGAGTTGCCGCTGGGGTTTTGTACCTGATCATTTGTATATATGCCAATAACTTTTCTAATCTTCTCCAAGGTCACCACCTGCAGACCACTGGACCCTCCTTAGTGGATTGCCAACATATGTTGCTGAAAATGGATTCGTAAGTCATTAGACAAACTTAAATGCTAACTAACAGTGTGTGAAACTCTTACTAGTTACAAGGTAAATACAATAGTTGAACCAAGAACGCCTGAGATAAGGGTAAGATGACCACTTTCTTTGGTACAGGAGAAAGGGAAGGAAGCTAGGAAAGACAATGTAAATTAAACAGGGCACTGAAATTATATGAAAATATTTAGTTAACTTGAGAAAGATTCATCCGTTTTTTTTCACATTATTATTCTGAAGAACCATAATTTTTAGACATCTGCTTATAGCCATGGATATTCAAAGTCAGAGGCTGTGACTCTCAATAAGTTCCCTTCTATCTCAAGTGCTCAGCAGTCTTAATATGACTATGAATATGTTCTCAAAGTAAGGGCTGAAAAACATGTCCATGATAGGAAAGTTAGAAGAAAAGAATCAATTGGTTTGCATCTTCAAACCACACTCAGGAGGGTCCACAAGTCCATGAAATAATGTCAACATTCAAATTAGATGTTTGAAATTAACAATGGCACCAAAGAGTCCTCAAGTTCTTAAAGTATCAACACTCACAGAAGTAGCAAGATGGAGGGTGTGTGGGAGTGTGTGTCTATAATCCCAACGGGGAGGAGGCTGAGGCAAGAGGATTGCCAATCCCACACAAGGAGAGCTGCATAGGGAAATCCAGATTCACACAAAGAAACAAGTAAACTAAACACCCAAAAGTAAATATGCACACACACACAAATACAAATGCTTCAGAAGATTTCCACATTTTCTTTGTAAGACTAGTGTAAAAGGAGTAGATATGTTTCATCCACTCTTAGAAAGCATTTAACACCAGCAGTTTCCATGGCTCACAGAGCTTGGAGTGGTAGGTGAGATAATTCTTCAGACCTCACTCAAAACTGTCAGGTGTTTTTCAGGAATTTTGTGATCAGGTAAATGTTGGTAGCCTGCACCCTCCACAGTGGAAGTGTTTACACCAGGTGAATGGGCAACTTATACAACCCTGGTGTTCTCCCCACACCCTAGCCAGGAGACCCCATCCCATCAGCCCTCTTTGGAGATGACAGTTCAAGGTTCGTCCAGTGAATGTGAACAGAGCACTAAACTTGTGGACTTTAATGTCCTCATCTTTAAAAGGAGAGGACTACTCAACCGTTACCATCCAGGCTTGAAATACTATCACTTTAAGTTGGACTTTGGTTGAAGTAAAAATATAGTTTTGTGTTAAGACCAGTTTGTGCACATGAGCCAGGTACAGATAATTCAGAGCAACTCAAAATGGATATGAGAAACAGTCTCCGAATCTCGGCTGTAAGAGCAGTATCTCATAGGGAATTCTCACTTTGGAGCAACTGAAACACTGCCTGGCCTTTTTTTCCTCTTACCCCTCCGCGCCACCTTGCTTTATGAGAACAGAAAGCAAGTCCAGTGCTCACTCACACCTGCCTCAGCAGGACGGCCTGCCTGCTCACCTTTCTCTTTTGCTTGGGCTGAAGAGTTGTTGGAAGTCGAAGGCCGTCCCATGGAGGTGGGAAGGAGTAAATATGGCACCAAATGTCAGTCAGCGATGTAGCAGAAGAGGAGGCGACTTCAGTGAGCCTTATGTAGATCGTAGGCTAATTAGACATGGCCTAACCTAGGGAGTGTGTGCTAATGTGTTTACCAAGCTGCCAAGAGCTTCGTGGGAAACTCACACTCTCGGGAGGCACTCTTGACCCCACCCCCACCCCCGAGGGCTTACGTGGCCCAGACCTCACCATGTTCCAGAAGGACTCTGTCTCTTGCTTCACAGATCTGCAACATGCTGAACGCCCCTGCGGACGAGTACTTCACATTTCAGGTAAGGGCGGCCACGACCCTGCCTCATCCCTCGGGGCTGGAGGCACGGTGGGTGCTCTCTTCCTCCTTATCCCTAGAGTCTGCCTTACTCATGCCTTAGGTGTAGACATCAGGCACACAGCGGCCCAAGCTGCAAAACTATAGCCATCAAGAAGCAGATTCTTCAGTAAAGAAGGGGCCTGAAAGAAGAAAAATAAGCGAAGATGGAAGTGTGTGTGTGTGTGTGTGTGTGTGTGTGTGTGTGTGTGTGTGTGTGAATGCATGAGTGCACACTGAAGCACTTCCATTCCATTCCGTTCTTGGTTCTCTAGGGGCAACAACTGAGCTCGGTGTATGACAGGGCTCCATAGCTCTTGTCTGCATGAATGATTGGCTGGAGACACTGTACGGCCCAAATCCAGCCCTGGGGTGCCGTTCTCAGCAGCCCTTCCTACAATGTACTGTAACTGTCATCTAAAAATGAAAAAAGGATTCTTACCGGGTCCTGGATTTTACCTCTGTTTTAATCACCATTCAGAAGCCCACTTCCTGGAGAATTTTCCTCCACTTCCCACAGGACAGCCCCTCAATCAGTCCCTCTGTATCCACTGTCTGGGCTAACCCATTTCTGCTCACTGTCACAGCTGTGGTTTGAATGTCACCCCTTAGAGTTCATGTGTTGAAAGCTCAGTCCCCAAGTTCACATACATACCATTTCTCGATGGGTATATTTAGAGGTAATTCAGATAAATGGGGGTGGAGCCAGAAGGCACAGGGCATCACCAGCTTCCCAAGAAAAGGAAGCGAGACTTAAACTGGCCCTTTCAGGGCCTCCTGTCCTGGGATGCTCTTTGCCATGTTATGATGCAGTGAGCAGCTCCTCTGAGATTATGGAGCCATGCTCTCAGGCCTCTCAGTCTCTCAAACCGTGAGAAATATAAATTCACTCCCCTCCCCCCTCCCCGCCCCCCGGAGCTGAGGACCGAACCCAGGGCCTTGCACTTGCTAGGCAAGCGCTCTACCACTGAGCTAAATCCCCAACCCTCACTTTTTTTTCTTAATAAATTACCCAGCCTGTGGTATCATATTAGAGTAGCAGAAAAGGGATTATAACAATGATAAGACTTTGGGTTTCATCTTCTTTCTAGCTTTATCTAATTCTCCAAAAGGACCTGCCCATCATCTGTGCTAGACCTTCCTGGTCCCTTGGGAGAACTAGATGAAACTGCAGTACCAGAATGCTGCAGCCTCTCTTCTGTGCATGCTGGCACTCTGTGTCCTGCATTTCCTAAACGTTAAAACCCTGATCTGAGTCAGGAGTAGAGACTGCCCTCCCCGGAGGGCACTGCTAATGTTTGTCTTTCTCTGTGCTGTAGACACATGGAGTCCCACTGATGCCTGAATGGAAGAGCTAGTTTCATTAGGGTATGGGGGATCCTGCCACAGCAGCAAACCAAGCCCTGCCTTGGGAAACCTGTGCACAGCTGTTTGGATAAATGGAGGTTTCCCCCGGCTCTGCCTGCCCATCCCTTTGCTCACCGATGTGGAAACACACAAACACCATATGGTCCTCTTGCTCCTTGTCCCTCCCTTCCTGCAACCAGAGCCTGCTTGTGGTTGCGTTGTGCCCAGACCTGGCCTTTAAATCTATAGCAATTGCGTGCCAGGAAAGATGGCCCTGTAAGAAAGGTGAACAGTGAATTTTTAAGTGTCTGAACCTGGAGCAGCTGCTGTGGAACCAGAGTGAGGATAGAGTGCATTCAGTATAAGCAGATGCCCACTGAGGCTTGAGCAGCCCCTGGAGCAATGCTGTGAAGAGGATGGGGGGACCTTTCTGTGGCTTCAGGAGTCCCTGTAATGGTACAAAACTCCAGTCTCCTGTGATCTCCCAGAAACTCAGCAGACTTCAGTGTGGTACCCATGGAAATGTGCCTGTCCGAACCCCAACGGTTCAGGGCTGCTGTACTCAACAGTCAGGTTTGTTCCAAGGCCCTGCCTCCCAGATAGCGAGTGAGTATGGCAGGCCCATCCCAGGAGGCAACCAGAATCTTCTGGTGGGCAATATTGACCTAGGAAAACCCAGAAGTCCTGTGTGGTGTTCCAGAGCTGCATTGAGGTGATTTGGCTCATCTTTGTGTCCATCCTTTTCTCCATAGCCTGGGTAGGACCCTGTCTATTTAACTGCCATTTCCAGCTCCCTCATCATATCCCCTCCCAAACATGCCCCGTGTATCAGCCCCCAGAGCAGATATGTGATGAGGAATCTGCCATCCCCAGAGCACCAGCCTCTTCATCTGCACTCTGCCTCCTCATTCTTACTCTGCAACACATGCCCTACCCCGCTTCTCATTATTCCCTGTTATACCTAAAAATGTTGAATGGGAAAACCAAAGGTTGAAAATGAGCTGTTTGGGGAGCAAAACCAGCAGAGGCAGTGGTTCTCAAACGGCGTTCCCTGGGGATCAATGTGTATGTTTCCTACGGTGTCATAACAACAACAACCAAGTACCACTTACCCCTGGAAACAACGTGAGAAGTATTAGCCTGTTGTTCTGAAGACCAGAGTGTAAAATGTTTCATACTGTTCTAAAACCAAGATGTCAGAGGACAGTGTTCCTCTGGGAAGATGCTAGGGAAGAACCTGTGTCCTGACCTTCCCAGACCCTTGGGCTCCTGTGGGCTGCTGGGATTCCATGGTCCATACCCTCTCCCATCTTTCACATCAGCAGTTGGACCAGCAGACCTTTCTCTGCCAGATGTTCCTTCCCTGATTCTGACATCACTACTTTTCAGGTTCTTGGTTATTATATTGATCTTTCTGTAAACTCTAGGGTAATTTCTGCTTCTCAGTTAGCTGACTGATAACTATAATTTCATCTGTAAGATCACACTCATGGGTACCAGAGACTAGGTGTAGGCATCTTTGGCCAGGGAGTCTTTGTTCTGCTTACCAGTCAGTGTTCCTTGAATTAGACTAAGGGATCCTTCCTTTAAAGAGACCTTCAACTCTGGGGTGGGGTAGGGTTGGTGGTAGAGGAGTCCATAGAATTGTCTCAGTTAAAAGTTTTTCTCCTAAATTTTAGATTTCTTCTATCATTTTGCAGTCAAAAATCTCTAAATAAAGGCAAAGCAAACAAAGATGAACAAATAGCAAATGGACATTTACTACAACATCCAGAAGCAGGCAGTAAAATTTATTTCGGAAGGTTTAAGATTATCCACGAAGGATGGGGATGTGACTCCTAGCTGGTTTCCAAGGACGGAACCTTGAGAACATGGTATACTGTATCCATTTTTCTAAAGCTTTGACCTTTAAGGCTCAGCACTGAGGCTTAGTTTCTCTGTTTTTCACTCTAAGGACAATGACTGGTGATAAATAATGAAGAAGTTATATGTACTACTTGTTGCTATAATAATCATGTGTTGAGAATTATATGCTCAGCATGATTCCACTACTTACATGAAACTGAAAGTTTATATAATAGTCTCCACCCTTTGATAAGAAGACCTCAAAGACCCAAACCAGCAACTCTGATGCATTTGGAAAACACAAAATGTGTGATCCAGGCAATGAGTCCTGTTTGAATTCTGAAGAATGTAAGTTCCTTGTGGGTTTGGAAAGTCAGAGAAGGCTCCATGGATGAGATAAGATTCAGCCTAAAACCCCGTGGAGGGCTAAATAAGCCAGAAGATGTTTGAAAAACCATCATTGTGACATGTTGAGCCTTTGGATCCCTTTGCCTTAGCTACATACTGTACAAATGTACCCTGTGGTTCTCTTGTTTGAGAGGGCATCAGAATGGCTGAGGGACCTTGTTTAAGATGCATTCCCATGGACTGTGTATGCCTAAAAAGAATCTGTTGTGGGGATGGAGAGATAGCTTAGTGGTTGAGAGTGTGGACTTCTCTTCCAGAGGACTGGAATTGGATTCCCAGGACTCATGTTGGGCAGCTCAAAACTGTCTGTAACTCCAGTAAATCTGCTGTCCTCTTTGGCATCTATGGCACTTACATGCATAACCCCCACACAGACACATATGTCCACCCACCCACTCACCACCCTACATATATACATATCTTAGGGTCTCTACTGCTGTGAAGAGACACCATGACCCTGACAACTCTTGTAAAGGAAAACATTTGATAGGGTGGCTTACAGTTCCAGAGGTTTAGTCCTTTATCATCATAGTGAGACATGGCGGTGTGCAGGCAGACATGGTGCTTGAGAAGGAGCTGAGAGTTCTATGTCTTGCTCAGGCAAAAGGAAGTGGTCTGAGACACTGGGTGGTAACTTGAGACCTCAAAGCTTGCCTCTATAGTGACACACTTCCTCCAAAAAGACTACATCTACTCCAACAAGCCACACCACCTAATAGTGCCACTCCCCTTGGAGGCTATTTTTTTTCAAACCACCACAACATAAAATTAAAAATTTTAAGTATATATAACAATAAAACATTTTTTAAAAGTATCTATTGCCTTTGGTGTACCAGGGTTTTTCTTTTGGACTACCAACCAGCTCCCAAATCATGACACATGGACTTAATATTAGTTATGAATGCTTGGCCTTATCTTAGCTCTTATTTCAATCTGTTTCTCTTCATCTACATTTTGCCTCAGGTCTTCTTATCATCTTTATTTCTGTATATCTTACTTTCCTGCTGTCTCAATGTCTGCCTGGCTTCTGCCCTGGGCATGTCTCCCTCTTTTTCCTCATTCTTTTCTCATTCCTCTTGAGACAAGATTTCTCTTCCAATATATTCTCTCTCTCTGCCAGCCCCACCTATCCTTTCTCTACCTAGCTATTGGTCATTCAGCTCTTTATTAGACCAATCAGGTGCCTTAGGCAGGCAAGGTGAAACAAATGCAACACATCTTTACATAATGCAGCATAACCAAAAGTAAAACACCTTTGCACAGTTAAAGTAATATTCTGCAACATAAATGAATGTAACATGTCTTTGCCTCATTAAAATGATTATTCCACAACACTGTGGTCCTTGGGTCACATTTTGAGAAACACTTCTGAAGTTATTTGTCTGCATCCCTCCTGCTAGCATGGAAGCATTTTGACATAGGACTTGTGGTTAACTCCTTGTAACTCTAACAACTGGCCTGGGTCTTAGTTTGTCATAGGCTCTCACAGGTTTTAGTAATAACAACATACCATAAACTGAAAGACTGTCTTGATGGAATAGACAGAAATTATACTAAGTACTCAACAGAGAGACTCTAACATAAGAAATTAACTACACAAACATTGCAAGATGGAAATAGTGCGAAGGAAACAGAGAGGTAACATAAGGCTAAGAGGCCCTGTCCTTCCCCAGCGGTGAGGGCAAAGGGGAAGGTTGTAGTGTCAGAATCCAGTTGCCCTAGTTATGGTACATTTGAATGGCCGGCCTAGGGTACTTATCCTAACCATGTTCTTACCCCAAGGTTTACTTTAAAATAAGCTGAGTGGTGGTTTTAGGTATAGTAGAGGGCGTATTGTGGTGATGGGATATTTCAGTTGATTCTAATAGCAGTTGAAATTTTCCATGAGAGATGAGCATACACATAAGCACAAAGACACATATAAATCTAATGAGACCCCATAAGGTCTATGAGTTGCATATTGTCTGTTTCTTGGTTTTTGGTACTGTCCTGCAGTTAGAGGAGTTGTTTCCATTGGTGGGGGATAAATGAAGAATCCGTGGATTTCTCTGTACATTTCTTTTGAAACATCTTGTAAATCTATAATTGTTTCAAAATTAAAAAGTGGAAATATTAAAGTAACTTAAGTTTCCTTATTGTATCTAGAAAGGACCAGTAGATGAAACTGGCTGGGTCATTAAAAACGTCTTGTCCCTGCCTATCGTCAACAAGAAAGAAGACATTGTGGGAGTGGCTACATTTTACAACAGGAAGGATGGGAAACCCTTTGATGAGCATGACGAGCACATCACTGAGGTAAGCGTGAGAAAGAACAAGAGAGGCAGTGGAACATCATGAAATCATGGCGGCTGCATTAGCTACTCCTTGGTTTGGAATGACATTCCAAAGAACCCTGAAGACACGAGTCTCACAGTAGTAATCAAGATGCTGTGGTGGGGTCATTTCTGTTTCTGGATTTCTATAAACTGCAGCCTTTTATGTTCAAGTATAAAGTTTTGATTTTACCCAAATTCTTTCCAATCCTATAATAACAGCAAAGAATATTTTTATCCCCCTCCTCTTCCTCTTTCATAATCTCTCCCATTCTTGGCCTCAAACGTCTGTCTAATTTTTTTTTTTTTTTTTTTTTTGTTTTTTTGAGACAGGGTTTCTCTGTGTAGCTTTGCGCCTTTCCTGGTACTCACTTGGTAGCCCAGGCTGGCCTCGAACTCACAGAGATCCGCCTGCCTC